GTAGTAGATATATTATCTTATTATTTTATATAGTATTAGCTTATTTAAGGTTTATTTTTAATAAGACTACTTAGGGACTAAGTTATTATAATTCTAATAGAGTTAGTTTTTACTTTAATCTATCTATAGGTTACTTATTTATAGCTAAAGTAGTCTTAATACTATATTATATATTCTTAAGTTAATAATATTAAATTAGATTCTTTTTTTTTAATTTAGGTAGCTTATCTTAAGAGGTATAGTCTTATTATAGATAATACCTCCTTTATACTTAAATTCTTCTCTTTCTATTATATATAACTAATATAGTTATTTTTTTCCTCCTTATAATACTTTTAGCTTATTAATAGCTTAGAAAGTAATAAAATTTACTTTAGCTTTACTATTAATTAATATAAGTATTATCTATTAATTAATAGTAACTTTAAGTTTTATATTATTTTAATATCTTTATAATATTTAGTAAATAAATCTTTTCTTTATTACTTATTATAGTTCTATATTAATAAGTAAGTTTAGTTTTTTAACTACTTTAGGTATCCTAAGTAGGTGATTTACTTCCCTTCCTATTATACCTTTATAAAACTATTTTTATAATATCTAACCTAAGGAGGTTAAGGTCTATTCTTTATAATTCTCTAAGTATATATTTTTTCTTTATAGTGAATTTAGTATTTATTATATTAATATTTATCCTATTTTATCTATTTATTATAGAGGTATTCTATAGGGAATTATTAGCTAGGGGTAAATATAGTAATATTACTATTAAACTTTTTAAGTTCCTATCTAGTAAAGATATATATAGTATAGATATTTTATAGGGGACTATTATTATATTACTTAGGTTAGAAATAGTAGTTATACTTATCTCTTATATAGATCTTATAATAGTTAAAGAAATATTATACCTAAAAGAGGTATTAATAGTTAGGGTTAGTAATCTTAAGGTAGAGATAATTTTTAATTCTAAGTTATAAGGTATAATATATTCTTAGTTTTATATTAAGTATACTATAAAGTTTAATAAACTATTTATTATTATATAGGTTAATTTATTTATATATAATTTACTTAGGTATATTATCCTTCTTAGATTCCTCTTTAAAGCTAGTATTATCTATATTAAGGATAAGCCTATAAATAATCTCTACTTAAGCATATTAGTATATAATATTATAAGGTTTATCTAAGTTATAAGGAGAACTTTCTCCTTCTCTAAAAGTCTAGTTATTTATAAGATTAAATAGTTACTATTCTTCTAGGGGGTTATACTAGTAATCTAGCTTATTATTAGATTTTTCCTTTATCTATTTTTTTAGTATTATATAAGTAATTTAGTTTAAAAGTTTATAGCTAGTCTAACCTTAGCTATTAGTTATTTTTAGAGTAGAACTAGGAATTAGTTTAAGTTACTATACTTATAGTATCTTATTAAGTTATTCTTAAGTTTTTCTATAAATCTTACTATTACTAATATATATTATTATTAAGGTTCTTAGATATATAACTAATATAGTTATATTATATCTAAACTATTTAAAGTTACTATCCCTTAAGTAGTATCTTAATATTTCCTTATCTTTAAAGTAGATTTAATAGTTATTATTATAATATCTAGTTTAGGATTAAGATATATATAAAACTTTAGTAATAGTGTTAACCTATTAGGGTTATTTAGCTACTAGCTTCTAAAGGAGCTTCTTAAGCTACTTATAATCTCTAGTAATATATCCTTATTTATTATAGTTATAACACTTAAAGTTCTAAAGCTTTTTATTATTAGGTTTAGTTATTATACTAAGATCTATAGGTCTACTATACTATCTATAGGTAGTACTCTAATAGGTGTTATTCTAGTTATTATAGGGTTTATTATTATTTCACTAGGGGTTAAACTTCTAATAGGGCTACTATTAATACTTATATCTAGAGTTTAGTCCTTATTATTTTTTGCCTTTTTCTTTATAGTGTTCAAAAAGTTAATTATTAATCTTAATAATAAGGTTAATATACTAAAGAAAGTTTCTAGGATAGTTAATTTTAATAATCTTATTTTTAACTTTATCTTTAAGTCCTTAATAGAATATAAAGATCTTAGTTTCTTTAGTAAGGTTAAGTTAAATACTAAATTATCTAAATATAGTAGTATATTTTTTTATTAACTTTATCTATTATAACTATATAAGGTCTCTTTTAGTTTATTATTTCTTATTAAGGTCTTAAAAGAGAGAGTAGAAGGTATTTTTAAATCCTTTAAAGTTACTATAGATATTATAAGTCTTAGTAGAGTATTTATTTAAGGTTTTATACCTAAGGAACTCTTCTTAAATAGGTTTAAATTACTTAAGGGCTTATCTTTATAGGTAAGTAGTAATATAGATAATTTTCTTAGTTTAACTAGTAAAGTCTCTATAGTAGAAGTTCTAATAGTTCTTAACTTAGATTAAGAATAACTTAAGTTATCTAGAAGTACTATTATAAGTAATTAAGGTATTAAGCTTAAGCTTCTATTATCCTCTAGTAGGGGTTATAATAATATTAATAGCTATATATAAGGTGTGGATTTCTTCTTAGAGTTCTTTAATATTAGTATTACTATTTTATCCTCTAAGTTAGATAACTTTATTTTTTAGATCTATAATATATTAAGGACTATTTCTTAGTTATTATATTATTTCTTTAAAGTTTTAAAGTTCTATAGTAATATTATTATATATAGTTTAGACCTTAGTGATATTATTATCTTTTTTCTTAACTTTAGTTTAAAGGCGTTTATAGGTATCTTTCTTTAGGGTTACTTTGTTATTAGAGTCTACTACTATAAGGGCTCCTTTAAGTTCTTTAACTAGGTTTTAAACTAGCTACTACAAAGAGGAGGAGGTCCCTAAAGTAGGTAACTTAGTAGAGGTATATAAAGATATACTTACTATTTTACTATTAGTAGGTGTTAATAGTTAACTTACTAAATAAGAGTAATTAAAATATTATAGTTAGCTATCTAATAGTAAGGTCTACTAATAGAAACTAGGGATTAATATATTATAATAGTATATTAAGGTTATAGTTTAAGTTATAGGTTATAAGCTATAATAGATTAGGTCTTTTAGAGACTAAAGTGATTAGTTTTAAGCTTAATAAGTAATTCGCAGTAAAAATAAATTAAAAGTATCTATAAGGATAAATACTAAGTTAATTACTAAAGAGCTATAGAAGTCTAACCTTAAATAAAGCTTAAGTTATACTATATATAAGTCCTAAATAATATCCTTTATTTATTTTTAGGTAATTACTTAAGTATATAGGTGATTATAATTAGTTAGTAATACTAACTAATTACTAAGCGTTTCTTCTTATACTTTACTAATCGTTCTCTTATCTTATTATTATATAACTTATACTATAGTTCTTCTATTTTAAGTAAGTCCCTATTATTCCTATTAATTCTGCAGTATAAATATCCTATCCTAGCTGCTTAACGCCTAAGTAGGTTAGTTAACTATTATCTATGCATAATGGGTTGTAATAATAAGGTGCGCCTCTAGGCGGTAAACTGCAAAGAAGAAAAGTTAGAAGGGAAGAAAGATCTCTAGTGCTTAAAGCTCCCCTAAGTTGATAGCGTATATAATAGTACTAATACTAAGGCAATCTTCGCACTTAAGAGCGAGGCTGGCATCTAATAGCTGTTTAAGGTAAGGTTTTCTGTTCTTTATTGCATCTACTAGCTCTAAGCTATATCTTTAGCTGTGGTCTGTTTTTATAGGTTGTCTGTCCCTCTGACTATACCTATACTCTAATAGAGGTGCGATAACAGGAGGGAGATGGGCTTCCCAGCCTATTGCGGCATATAAAGCGTTGTGACTTTCGTGATTTAGTTGCCTCAGGAGCTACAGCAGTATCTAAAGTTCTAGTTCCAGTGAAGATCTCTGAATGCCAGGAATAGGTTTTTGTTAGGTGATGAAAGCCTAGCGCTCAAGCAAATCCTCTAAAACGGAGGAATATAGATTAGTACTCTTAGACACCTATTCCACCTGGTCTAAGCTAGCCCCTACCTATGCAAGAGCCATAACAATCTCCAGGTTCCCTTTTCTAGCGGCATGGCGAATGTACGTCTTGCCATCCAATACCTCCGTTTCATTAACGTCAATGCCGCATTTGAGAAAGGGCTCAACCATGTCTACAGTACCAAAAGAGCACATTATTCTGAGGAAAGTGACTCTATTAAGGTTGGTCGCACTTTTGACCTATGATGCTTGCTTCTGAGGATCTAGCTCAGGCAGATGATTGATGCGGGGGCGGATACTAGACGAAATTCCAGCAGGTGTTCGCATTCCTTGGTACTTAGCTTCCAGCTTGCTTTTAAAGGAAGGGATTGATCGTGCTAAAGACGCCACGAGCCACAGGTCTATCGAACGGAGGTTCTGAAGCATGTCGAGGTTAATGAACTCATACAAAACGTCATCAAAGTAATTGAATCCTTGAGGCATCTGAAACACCAGAAGACATGACGACTGTCCAACTTTGTCACAAATAGCGAGATCGGCACCATTCTCTATGAGAATACTAGCCATCGGCTGCATCCTTTCATAAGATTTGCTGCTTTCTAGCATAAATTGACAACACTGCATGAGTGGGGTTCTAAGTATACACTAGTGAGCCATTCTTATCGTACTACGCCCAGTGATTCGTCTTCGTCTCGAGGGTCATACTTTCCACTTTGGTTCAGAAAGTCTAAGTCAAATGCCTTAGTTGAGCCCAGAATGATCCGGCAAAGCTCAAGCATATCAATACCCATGCCGTGTCTGACAACGATCTCCTGGTTGCTTGTCATTATCGCCCTTTTCTTTCATCGCTTCTGAATACTTACATGAAGAAGGGAATTTCCTGAGGGGGCAAGGATATCGGTTGGGTGGGCTCACCCTTCCGCAAACATTTCAAGAATGGCCAAAGAATTTCCAGCATTAAGGTGTCGACGAAGATCCGGATCCTGGTTGTAACCATATGTTTTCGGTACGAATTTGAACTCGCCGGAGCAGGATTTCTGAAAATATAACCGGGAGATTGACTTGGCCCAAAAGACACACGGGTAAAGAAATATATCCAGACACCAACTTTTCTGTTCACATAAAGCCTTCCTTCTCCGGGATGTTGTGGTTGACGTGATACAACGAGCAGAGATGATTCCAATTGGAATGCGAATGGAGTATATGCAGCATGTTAGCTCGTGGGCCATCAACTCGACTTTGCCCAGGAGAGTGTTGTTGTTGTGGTCCCAACCTTGGACGCGAACTGGCTCTGAGTTGACACTAGTGTCCCATTTTGGCTCTGCGAGAATCGATCCGCGTTGCCTGATGGTGGACTTAACGACACTTATTGCTCGGGACTCTTCGGGCTCTATACATGGCAAATGATCGATGCCTTTGGCCACAATCCCCCGGAGCCCGGTGTCCAGATCCTGGTCCTGTACGAGGAAAACACTGCCGATGGGAGAGGCTTGCGGCAATCGATGGTTTTGGGATTTCAGCTCAGAGACTAATTCTCTCTGACGTCTCCTAAAGCCAAAAATGTTAGCCCTTTGTCACGGAATATCGGCAGAAACCTGATCTTGAGTTGACGAACTCTTGTACAACGCTGAGCATGAAGGTGAAAAAAGACTGATGATCAAAAAGCCTCTTTTCAAAATTTTCTATATCCCGATTGGAAAGGACCTTTTTAATTCGTGCTCGTATCGATTTGGAAGTCTTTGTGGGTTTGTTGAATTCTATTTCAAGTCTTTGTAACGCCTGCAGCAGGCTCTCTAAATCAGCTCTCACAGCGGCAGTTTGGTCTTCCCAGGGAACTCCAGTATCTCGCTTCTTGCTGATGAGCTCCTTTTCTGGAGCACCCAAGGCCTGTATCTCATCTAGCACATGCTTCAGGCGATGCATGGCCCCGGAAATGCGCCTGATCTCATCTGGCGCTTCCGATAATTGTGTTTGCAGACGATGTAGGGCGCTGAAACCTTTCAGCAGAAGCTCCCCGAAGCTGCCGACGCTTGCGACAAACGCGAAAACCTCCATCTCGTCGATGCGTTGGTTAGACGGCTGATTACGAGTGTTTCTGTGATACTGTTACTTGTTGTTGTGTGTCGAATGCTGAACGTTCTTCTAGGCTGACCGCCAAGTGCCCGTGATGCTCTTTCGTTAGAAATGGGAGGACAGTGACACCGTTTGGTTGCGATTGGTTGGCGGAACAGAAATGTTGAGAGAGTATCTGGCTTTGGCCCTCGGGTCAGTAAGATCGGAGCGTAGAGCCTTCTTCACATGCCAAGACAATATAAGCATCCAACATGTCATTTTTGGGGAGAGACGCAGTTGTCCCCAATATCTAATAGGCCACCGCCATCTCGACGTGCCGCATTGTTTCCTCATTTGAATCTTGGGCGCATGGACAACTCATAACGTGTGACAACGACGAACGAATGAAAAATCTCCATCTCTCTTACGTGCCTCAACTTCGCATGTCATGCGGGCGCCTCACGCCTGATTTGAAGAGTGTTTCGGTGTGGGGTTATGGACGGCACCTCATCTAATAGGTCTTCCTTGTGCAGGCGGCCTTCGCCAAATTGATGATGGTCGGGGGTGCCCGTTGCAGATGCTCCTTGTCCAGTCTTGATTTGCTGTGGAAGTCGTACCCGAAAGCCCGAGAGCCCGAGAAACGGAGCCTTGGCTACTACAAATGATGGTCGGATCCTGTCTCTCATACAGAGTTTTCACGACTGTGAAGCCTTGTCCAGCTCTAATTTTTCCAACTCAGTAAAATGGAAACGTCTTCAATTTTAGCAAGATGGTGTTGGCCAATGTCCCTCTTGTTCAGCACTGCCATCATCATTGGATTAGTTTTGCTTTCCCGGCGCTTTTCTACGAGGGCTCGAGAGCCAATCTCTCTGAGCTCCCCTGACTTCCAAGGAGTGCCTGAAAAACACGTTTCGACAGAGATACCAGCCTACATCTGCGCTTCGGACAACGACAAGATTCGTCGAGACCAATGGGTTGGCCGACTTGCAGAATACGCCTTTCGAGAACGACATCGGGGTCGCTACAACGTGCTAGTGATCCATGACAGTCTTGAGTACTACTTCAACAGTAACTCGATAAAAGAGGACAAGATTATTCACTACTCGGACCCCCGCAATGGTGCACTCCCTTACCGTCTCCTTGTATTTCATGATGGAGAAGTGGTCAACTTTGGAGACGGTGGCTACATCAATTGGACATTTTGGGGAGACTTTACTCGACACGGTGTTTCTTCGGTCACATTTCATTCGAAGAAGAAGGACGTCGAGTCTTGAGACGACCATGGTTTTGCAAGGTCGGTGTGACCGGGAGTAATGTCGACTCTTCTTCACGAGCGAGAGAGTAAACACGCATATGTTCAGAGTGAATCGGTGGTACATCACAAGATTTGTTCAATTTGCCAACGGTCAGGCATCAAATCGACAGCCACTAATTCACTTGGTTGAGATATTCGCTGTTCAGGAGGAATACTTTGGAAAATTCAATACAACGTCAGCTTTTGATCAAGCCCCTCAAAAATCATGGTCATGGCATAGGTCTATGATCAAAAGATGTACCAATGAAGAAGAGAAGTACCAGCCGTTTAGAACACATACCTTAGACACCTAACCCTGGGGGCTGAACGTGCCGGACGCTAGGTTGCAGCTACCTGGAAAGCATGGAGGTTCGTCTGAACTTAGCGTCTGGGAACACCGTTACGGTTCGTCTGGCGCTTGAGCCTGAGCTTGCTTTGAGTTCTGTCAATTCACCAAGGTAGAGCACTCCGAACATTCAAACGGTAGCCATAATATCTAGAACATCACAAGAGTCAACTTAAGATAAAATCCACAGCCTAATGCACGCTGAGAAAAGTGCTAGGCGACTGAAGACACCTACTAGCTCGTTAGACTCCGTCACGCTGTCTTCATAGTTGATTTGCGCATCGATCGTCCCCAACCATCAAGCAAGCTGGGTTCAGTCGCCCGGCTAGCTCAATCGGTAGAGCGTGAGACTCTTAATCTCAAGGTTGTGGGTTCGACCCCCACGTCGGGCTCAATTCCCGTCAGCGATTGGCATCCAGCTTAGCTTTTTTTGTATTTTGTTCATTTTGGGAAGTTTCCTTTCCTTTGATTAGTAGGTTTCAAACACGTCACGGTGCCGCCTGTTTGTGTGAGAAACTTTTGACCTACCCCGGGAGGGTAGCCGACAAGCGAGAGCGTTAGTGGTGGGGCCGTGGCGGCCCCATACAATCGTTAACGATTCCGGGGCTGCGGTAGCTCCTAGTCCCTGCAGGACCGTGGAAAATTAGGTATTGATGCCGGCATTGCGGCATCGTATTTACGCACCCTGCTTCTTTGACATCACGATGGCAGTAGTGTGGAGTAAACCTGATAGTCGCTATGGAGAATCTTCTTATAACTAACTCACTTGTATCCCGCTGAACCCCAGAACGCCGTGCTATGCAAGCTTGAAAGAAGGTGTACCGCCAAAAGTATACTTTAGAAGAAGTTTGTGTGTTCGTGTTACCAGTCCACCGCCCAGCCATTCTTTTCTAAGAACATCTCACACGCCTGCCTGAGTCCAAGATTGGGCCTCAACTCGGATGGCAAAAGGGGTTCCCTAGTCAGAGGGTCGCTGGGGTGCCTCCTGAGGTGTTCCATGATCGAAGCTCTTTCGTAAGACTTTCCAGTCTTGGTCTATAGAAACCAGTCAGCAATGGTCGAGGATCCATAGTGGCAATCAAACTTACGATGACGGGGTCGACCATGATGCCGAAGCTAATATCGTCAATCGCCCAATCCGGAACCTCGCCTCTCTGTTCCTCCACCGGTCGGCTCTTCTCAAACGTCTCTCTCAAAAGCTCAATCTTCTTGTCCCACTCCACCTCAATCTCCTTCTTCTCGCTGTCGTCCATGGCGTCGTCAATGGCTTGCTTGCGCTCCCTTTCCATCATCTCGACGATCTCGTTCTCCATCTGATGTGCTTCGCGGAGGCGGTGCCTCTCCTTCCAATCCCACCGCTCCTTCTTCGAGCGGAGGACTTGTGCTGTGATCGCCGCAAGAGACTTATCTCCAGTCTGGACGCACAGTTGATGGGCACGCAGGGCATTTGTAAGAGCCGATTCGTAGTCCTTCAGCGCAAGCTGGGCCTGAGACAGATAGTAATGGGCTTTCAGGTTATCAGGGGCAAGGCCCAAGCAGGATTCGCAATCGGAGACGACCGAGTCCCATATCTCGAGCTTTAGACGGGCCATGGCGCGGTTCGTGTAAAGGGCCGGGTTCTTGGGATCGGCGATGATCCTGTTCCAAGGTTCTTGTCAGCAACTTTTCTCTGCTAAGCTCGCCTGACATGCTGGAGAGGGTCAGTTGGGAGGAGAGGAGTGCTTACGCCTTAGAATACAAGGCCTCTGCCCCGGCATAATCGCCTGACTGGAAGTGGCGGTTACCCTCCTCCTTAAGCTGGATTGATCTCGACATCGTGAATCCTCTCCTGTCGGCAGTGAGACCTACGCACTGGCGTGTGAAATTGATACGATGGGTGGATTTGTCTAGGTTCGCGTCGATTGATAGTCGTGGGTCAGACTTTGAACTGAAGGGACGAAATGCAGTGCAAAGATGATTGGCCAAGTGCAGTGTTAAGTGGCCGTCGGCAGGTGTCGTTAGGGAGACCGCTGCATGGAAATAGCAAGAACGGAAGAAAGAGTGCTGCTGCCAGAGAAACCCGGAGATTATTCGACACCAGCGCAGAGCATGTACGTGTGCGTTTCGATCGGTCGGCGGGGTGGATCGGGATGTCGAGATCGGGAAGTTGTATGAGGTAGGTACGGGGACTAAAGTAACGCCCAGCAGGAGGAAATGGGCATGCCGACCGATGCTCCGACTCAGCCTCGTGGAGTCAGAACCTATGTGAGGTGTGGTGTGGTATTTGCTGCTGCAACCACCGAAGCTGGTAACTACTGATGCTGCTGCTGCTGCTGCTGGATGGCGACCAGGTGCTTGCTACCCACGAGGTCGACACCTTCAGGCGGGACCCCGCCAACAGCTGCGTCCTTCCGCGTGGTCGGATTGGATTCTAGGGGTCTTTGCTCCTCCCCCAACCCCACTTTCGCCCGGGAAGCGCGGGTGATTGCTGCGTTCTGGAATCTTCCGCTTAGAAACACACGAGTGGCTTGCGCACTCGGTAGAATGATGTCCGATCACGTGCTGTGGCTGAAGGCGGCCGACTTGCCGATTGTGGGTCAGCTACGGCGCCGGCGGAGCGTGTTCCGGGCCGGTGCCTGCGCCGGCTCGCTTCATGGGTCCGATCTTGAAGGTCGTCGTGCCCACATTTAATCACGATTGCGAAGAGGCTTTTATGACAGAATGGAAAATTTGACCAAAGCTCGGGGTTCCAGAAGTAAGAGAGCCCTTTCGGTCCCAGGCCGCTCGAGGTGAAAAGTCAACTTCAGTATCCATCAGGGTCGGAACCGGCAAAGTATTTAAAGCAGCAACCTCTGTTATAACTTCAGATAAGCACACACATCAAATTCCACAAACAACTCGAGCAATTAGAATTCGAAAACCATGTTGAAGACAATACTCATTGCTGCTCTCGCAGTTTCCGCGAGAGCTCAGCTTGTGATCGACCCTGGCCCGATTCCAGCATCCCATCAAAGCTTAGGCAGTTGCCTCGACTCGCTCCTTTTAACAAACAAAACATTTCTGAACATTTTCAAGGGCCGCTGTCTGTCTACTCGTGTCAACGACGACAACGTGCTAGAAGCATGTTGCGTAAGTCGAGAAGGGTGGAAAAGGGCGGCATTGCCTCTTGCAAAGTGCACAGCTTTTGTTGGCGAATTTGATGAGCAGAAGCTTATGTGGGGAAGCAACTCTTCAGAACCGTAAGTCGTATCTAGGCTCTTGCCGGTTGAGTTTCAGACTGATAATAATAACATAACTCTAGGGGCCCGTCTGAGCACTTCCAGATGGGCCATTGCACCTGCGACCTCCTACAGCTCCAAGAACGAGAACTGGCCCCGGAGGCAGTCAGATGCAAATGCTTCAGCTATCGACCTAACAACAACAGACTTTTATTAGGTTATGGAGACGTCGACAAGCCCTCTGATAGTTACATGACGCATTTTTCGGGTCCTCTGCCTTGAGTTACCGCAGACGGGTCTATGGACTGCGCGATGTCAAAAGCCTATATCCACGAAATTCACACTTTTTAGCTCGTATCCATACTGCGAGAGAGTACATGCACATAAATTCTATGATTTCATATGAAAGAACTGATTTGAGGTCTAGCTTTCGAGTATAGTCCAGGTCACGTAGACGAAGTGAAGATTAACCATGACCTGAGGTTTGGATTTTGTCTCTGCAATTCATCTCAACCGGTCCAATGGTGAGGTTTGTGAGCGAGGTTGATCATACTTTCGCCAATGAATCGCGGACTTAAGGCGTTCTTCAATGCGTGAGAAACTTGGATAAACCGCTGGATTCTATACCGAGTCATAACATAACAGTAGCTCAGACTGGGTCGGAAAGCAAATTCTCTATCGTTCCGATTTTTTTCATACCGTATTTTTCAGTCAGGTAGTCATGGATATGCCCTTGCAGGCTGGGGCTACCCTAATACACTACGCCCGGGCACCGGATATCGCACCGCAGCGGGGCTATCAAACCTAGTCTACTTTGTCCGAGCCGGCCTATGGGACGTCGCAAGAAACTAGGTAAATCGCTGCCTGCGCTAGTTGCTCGCAGCCAGCGGGGAGAAGTTCGTCTCTCATCTCCCTACCCGAGATTTTAGTTCCCCATGCCGAGAACATCCATACCAGCTAGCTAGACGCAATGCAACGCGGAGCCGCTTAGTCTTGCCAACGTCCATCCGTCGCGGCCGACTGGGTGTGGATGTGAGGCGGAGCTCTTGAGGTTGCCTGATTGGGTACAATCGCTGAAGAAATTATGACTTTTCCATGCCCAAAGTATGCAGCAAGATCGGACGTTCAACTAGTCGCCTTGTGATGTTGCTTCAGCTCCGTTGTAAGGATTCAATTCCTGGCTCAGGAAGTTGCCGAGGTAGATTCTTGAGCTTGGCAAGATGTAAATAGCAAACGATCCGTTGTACAGCACACACTTCTTTAAGCCGTTCTAGGAAGAGAAGTGGCCTTGAGAGGCCTAAAAGACCCGTAAATTTGCCTATAAAACCCTTCGTCGCTCTGCACTTTTCGTCTGGTTCTCCTTCAAATCAGCAGGTCATATTCTAGCATTCCTACTTCAACTTCTACTTCCCTTCAACATCTGCCATACCCCAAGAT